AAAATCGGTGGAACTTCAAAATCGTTAAAATTCATGGCTCCCGCCGCATTGCGCGGGTACACAACTAGTTACAAAACAAATGTTTTTAACATTTTTTAAAACCTTATTTTATATAATCTTACGAAAACTCTTGAAATCCCGAGCACTCCCTACGGATTTCAAAATCTTATGTTTGTAGGATTTCAAATCTGGACAATCCAACAAACCAAACATGGGATTGGAATGGATTTGAAATCCAAATCCCCCGAAATCCATTCCATTCCTGCAAACCAAGCGGACCTAAGCCTCTCCTATCATTGGTAATGAAAGTCAAGCCCTTGCATGAAGCGACTGATCTTACCTCATGTAGAAACGGATGATATATGAGAGACAGATCAAATGACCGAGAAACATCACATAAGAGGAAGCATAGTGTGTATAGAAGACTTAACTTAATAGTTATATTGATGTTCTCATTAAACTATGGCAATCACTCATATAAATCATCATGGAACAATTCTATTAGGGTGTGTTTGGTATGCGGGTACGGTACAGAACATTGTCCCACGTTTGATGCGACAATTAGGGTGGGACCGGACAGGACTAAACTACCCATGTCAAATTAAAACCCTAAAACCTTCCATGATTATTTCACCCTAAAACCTCACTCTCACCCGTCCAGTCCGGTTTTGCCGGCGTACCAAGTGCACCCTTAGTAGAAAAGAAAACCACCAAATTATAGCACCCCAAGGTCCAAACTAGAATCAAGAAAGAGATAAGAGCTACAGTTTTTTTTAAAACCAAATGGTGAATACTATTAGTTAAATACTTAAATTTGTTAATGTAACTACTTTTAAAGTTATTAGTTATGTGCATAACAAAGTTAGCTTGCCTTCAGCATAATCAACTTGTGACATCAAAATGATTCAACAGTTTCTTGTACTTGTCATTTCCCCGAATATATTTCTTATTAAAAAGAACATATCCATCATCCTTCAAGCAATTAAAGTATACCTACATACTTTGCATGCTTGTATTCTTCCTAACAAATGCCCAATATCTTTACATGATTGGTAATGTATGGTTTTCTTGTTTCAGTAACAGAAAAGAGTCAGTCCAACAGCAAGGTTTCTTTGTTTGCAGCAACTATGCAAGGAACCCTTTGTATTTAGCCTTTCCCTTGCGCTTTGCAAACAACTAAGGCGTTGCGCCCTGGCTGAGGCACCTTGTGAGCCTAGGCGCGCCTCATAGAGAGTTATTAAATACCTAGTCAAACCCTAATACTAAATAAGTTTTATCATCTTCTCATCTCCTAGACTTCTTAATAAAGAGCTATTAAATAGATGATGTAAGTCAAACTCTAATATTGAACACCCAGTCTTTAGAACTTCAAGCCTCCTCTATAAATACCCACACCTTAAAACTTCTCCTTCACGGCTCACGCTTTAAACCCTTCTCCCTTCTGCCTCTATCAAAGAACTGTTGGTTGCTGTATATTTAGTTGTGTGTAACTGGGTGTGTGTGTGTGTGTATTTTAAGATGTGCCTCACATTCCTGAAGCCCATGCCTCACCCCTAGGCTCCGGGACCCCTTTGCGCCTAAGTGCGCCTTGAGCCTTTAACAACTTTGTTATGAATATGCCCAACAAATAACAATTAAGGATCAAAAAAAAATTCTACTTTATGGTTATAAAAAAGACAAGGTGGCAACAATATGTACACAACATTAGCATTTAACTCTCAGATGCTAAGAGATGAAGATGGAAAAAGAAAGATATGCCCTAACTCAAACTAAAGTACTGAAAGGATATAAGATGTGTATCCCTTACCTAATGTCCATTATTCTAATCTATTACCAGGCCCTCCAAGTCAAATCTAAACTGAAGGACCATATATAGATTATATATGATTGAAGGAAACAATACCCATTTATCAATATAAACTACCTAAGAGAGCATTTCATTTCCCATCAGCTATGGGCATATAAGAAGAAAATAAAAACAAGAGAAAGTAATATCCCTAGCAAAAACAGCTCCCAAAATTTTGTTTGTTTAGAGATATTGTATCTTATTGCTAGGAAATCCAGATCCCTGCCATAAGGCAATACAATAACAGAAAGCAAGGAGGTTGATGACATCTCAACTCCCTCCCTTGTTTATCAACATGAAAAACTTCTGGAATCAGGTAAGCTATTAGTAGGAATGATAATCAGGTAAGAATTTAGTACTCAAGTTAAGTAGATATATTTAGTGTTTTATGTTATTCGCTTAGGCTTAGGATGGTAGTTATCAGTAATGATTAATAATTGATTGTCATTATGAGCATTTTCGCTCTTGGCCAGTGGGCATAGTTGATTCCTTGCAAGGGTAGGAACTCTTCTCACCAACTACACCTTTCTATTCTATCTACCCCCTCTTAGTTTCCATTTCAGCGCTCATTTTAGAGTACCCCCTGCCACACATAAGGATACATGGCATAACTAGTGTCAATATATATGCTCTCAACTTGTGGATATATATATATATATATATATATATATAAGTGGAAGAATGTATAACATATGATAAATCTATTTAAGCATCGAACACAAATTATAGCATCAATAAATGAACATCACTTGCAGTATTATGTAGAACAATACACTAATACAGATCAACAGTGCAGAAAGACACCTGAAACTGTGGATAGTCTGGAGCACTGAAGAGAGTAATCAGTTTCCCAGACTCTACAACATGATCTATGGTGTACCCTTCATCCATTCCTCCAAGACCAGGCCGTTTTTCCCTTGCATCAGGACCTTCATGAGATCTAATAATTAACTGCAATAATCGATCTCAAGGTTAGCACTTAGCATGCAGCTTGCCCAATCAACTCGTGAATCCATATTCATCCGTCATGCAAAACACAAGCAACTAGAAGAAGCAGAAAAGAGGTTTCACATTATAAAACAGGTTATAAACACAACTCCTTCAATATACACCAGATGGTCTCTCTTGCAGAAGACATCAAGCTACACTCCAAATTCTTAACTACGCTTGAACGATCAAAACTTCAAGAATGGGTGCATTTTAAATTAGAAGTATGTATGTGAAATATTTAATAATAAAAGCATATTGATACCTTTAAATAATACATCAATCGGCTATATAAGAACTCAAAATTAGGAATGGGTACATACAAGAGTCATTTCATTGAAAAGGGTAAACTTAGGAAAAAAATTATAATGCTCCAAAAGTCTGAGGGAGAGTGATCCAACTTTTATGTTAACTACAAAGTAAATCAGCATCTATAACTAAGTTAATAAACTCCGTTCACACTCTCAAAACAACATATGCAATCAACTCCCTTAGAGCCTTCTGTCATTACGTAGCAAAAATCTACATAGGTGAATGAGAAGAATAGATAAACAAGAACACATTGACAACAGTAAAATTACTTGTGTTTATAAATAATAATATCTAAAAGTACTTAAATAGGTTAAGAGAACTAAAGGCTTGGAAACAAAGAACTTATTCATCATATCACCTTGAGATTGAATTTCTTTAAAAAGTCTTCTGTGCAGTCTGGACCCCACAAAAGGCCAATACCTCTTTCCTTGTTTGGAGAAAGACCAGGTTTCATCGAAGGGTCAGACCACAAAACGTCCCCAGGAATCAAATTCTGGCCTTCCCATGGAGGGTCAAGTACAGATCGTCTAGCTTTAGATAATTCCTCTAGAGAGCCAAGAGATAAAGGAACAGACTCTGGGTTCAGAATTACTTTACGATTCTTCTTTCCTTTAGCTCGTTTGGATGGGGTAGCAGGTATTTTGCGGAAGATCCCTCCATGTGCTGTATAAACACGCCCTGCTATAATGGAAGCAAGAGGAAGTCCTTCAAAACATCCTAGACACTTACGATAAACATGCTTTCCTTCCCTTTTATCTCCGTACTTGGCAAGTACTTCCTTTTCAAATCCGTAAACTGAGGTACAGTATTTGGATTCATGATTCCCACGAAGTAGAAAAACTCTTTGTGGCAAAAAGACCTGGAACATGACATATCAGTATGGGAATCTCAGCATCGGTGATTGAAATAAGAAAAACAGGGTCTCTCAAAATAAAAAAGGTTCTTACAGCTCTACATACATAACTGAAGTTAAACACCAAATTACATAAGGCAACAAGGAAATACAGGAAGTACAATAAATCAGAATAAATAAAGCTCTTCTGGACCATAAGTAGAGTATACTTACAAAAGCTCATGAAATGACAAAGATGTCAAACTAATCACTCAATTCTTGCATTAGAAAAAACAATCCAATCATTATTGATGAAGCCACCAATCATGACAAGCAGCAAGAACAACACACTCATAGAGAGAGAAAAAGGAAAGCTGAATCTAAAGGAAAGAACATGTGCTTTAGAAGCATATATATATCCATAAGATGCCTCTGATCACTTCTTACTTTATATCATTAGTGCTGCAAATTTAGAAGATGTTTTCCTAAGTGCATATGGCGCTAGCACCCAAAGTGTATAATAGGGTTGGCAGAGATGACAATTGAGGAGAGTGGAAAGTGTGAAGTTGAGAAGGGAAAGTGTGACGGTTGATGGGTTGAAGAGGAGGGTTAGGCGTGGGAGAACGTGGGTTGACCAAATAAGGACGCACATGGAAGCTTTAGGCATTTGCAAGGACATGACCTCCACTAAGAGTTCTTGGAGGCACAGGACTAGAGTGGACGTTTTTTAGTTGGATCTGATACTGGGTAGCAAGGGTATTGAGATGAGGGTAGAAAGTAGGCAAATAAGCTCCTTGATCGGATCAGTTGCGCCTGATAGGACATGACTTGCTAGCTTTGTCTCTCTTACTGGTCTTACCTACATGATTGAGTTGATATATACATCAGTTTCTACTTGTATAAAATATTTTACTTGATTAAATATTCTGTGTGCACACACAATTGAATCGTTTTATTCTACATGGTGTATTTCACGATTACCTATAAAATTACCTATCTTATTGCTTGCTTGCACACGCATTTGTTTCGTGCACAAATCGGGGGTCTTCAAGAGAAGATCCTCATGGTTGAGGTAAGGTCTGCGTACATCCTCCCCCCCCCCCCGACCCTCGACCCTACTTTTGAGTGAGATATACTGGGTCTGGGTTTGTTTGGTTTGGTTTAGAGATGACAATTACTACCAATAAGAGAGAAGAAGGGTGGAATGGGAAGTTAATGATCTCATCTATCTTATCTAGATTTGGACTTCCTTATAGGAATTATTCCTGCTCTATTTGGTTAAAAGGACATCAACTTTTTCAACTGCAGGGAGTGGACAAGGGAGAACAATCTTGCTATGCAAATATCTGCTAGAAACTACAAGCATTCACATCTTTTCTTATGTCCTGCTTTTTTATCCAAAATTTAACATTAAATACGAATATATTAGGTATTACTATCAACCCCATGTTTCAATGTTCTGAATAATAAAACCAAAGCAAACCAGCTCAGTATACCCCATCCGAAGGTAGAGGATATGATGACCTTACCTCTACCCCAAAGGGTAGGGATGTTGTTTATGCGAAAACCCCCGGCTTGTAAGAAAGTGTGGAAGAAAGAAAGTTAGCCCAAAAATTTTGAAACAAAAAACTTAAAAAGGAAAGAAAGGCATATATGATAGTTATGACTTATGAGTAAGCAACAATATACAAACAGAAGCAGCAAGAAAACATTGTCAAGGAATAATATGTACTCTAAAAGAAGAAATGATGCAGTTATTAATTGCCAATTCATCAAACTAACTAAACAAATTACACAAGAGACTTGCATTGAATCAACCAAGTTATTTGTCATACATATCTATGAAGACTAACCATATCATCCAACAATTTACCATAGGAAACTAAGCTATTATACATTTTAAACTCTATCTACATAAACCAAAATGGAATAAACAATGAACAGACAGAACTCCATATTAAATTGACTTGATTCTTTTTGCAGGACACCTAACAAAATCTCCACCAAGGCAGTCGAGATGATGTTTATTTAACAAGAACAGTATTCACATGAAGAAAAAAGATTATTTCTGTCTATTGTTGTAAGAAAATTGAGGTCCATTCGAGTATTACTTACTTTCCAAGCCAGCAAAAGAAGAAAGGTCTCAAGACCCCAAGCTCCTCGATCAACATAATCACCATTGAACACAAAGAACTTATTTTCAGATGGAAGCCCCCCATCTTTCAACAAAAATAATACATCATGCAACTGCCCATGCACATCTCCAACCACCACCACACTCGATCCCACCATACCATCCCTATCAGGCTCAATCGAAACGCAATTGGGCTCTTTATGTAAGATCTTTGACGCAGTGAGCACTAGAATATCAAAAACTTCCACCGGCAACACCGTCGGGAGTTCCGTCGGCCGGAGATTCCTGGATGACCAATCGAAGGTTGACATAAGGTTTGTGACCCAATCTAGGGTTAGAACGCCATCAGAAGGCCATGTAATGGGGATCTGAGGACGGCTTTGAGAAGGGTCAGGGGAGGGTGAGGGTTTTCTGTTGTCATCGGATAAAGAGGAGGAGGAGACAGAGGCGAGGGAGGCAGTAGAGAATAAGTCATCGAAGGAAGAGGACGGCGGTGGTTGGGAAACGGCAACATCGATAACGGCGGACTCCGGCGTTGTCTGTGGTGACGATTCAGTAACATCCGATTGTGATGGCATTTAGCCGTTGAAGATTGCCGACGAACAAACCAAATTCTAGAAATCGTTTGATGTTCCGATCATGTGTTGTGTTACCATGAGAAACAAAGAAAAGGGATTGTGAGACTCAAGTAGCCAACTTGAGCATTTTCCTTTCCTTTCTGGGGAAACGGCCAGATCACTCGAAGCTCAAAAAAACCCGACCATTTTTGTGGCGATTGCGGCCTGGACCGGACGGTCTGAGTTGCAGAAGCTTCCAAACCCTACTATTATTTGGCATAAAGTGATTCAACTACTTGTTTTGTTTAATTGCTGTGGTTTGGGTTTATTAATTCATAAAATCAATAAAAAATAATATTAAAATTTGTTTTAATTTTGTTTTAGTGTAACTTTTGAATACTTTTAATTAGTGTAATAAACGTTAATTTTTTTATTTACCTTATTTAATAAACCGGTTTTCATGTTATGTGATATCGGTTGATTTTGATATGACATTTTTCATATAATCAGCAACTACGATATAACTTGGCATCTTGACTTGCATTTTAGAGTAAATTATGCATTCGGTCCTTGTGGTTTATTGACTATTTGACTTCCCTATGTCCTTGTGGTATGCACTTCATGTTGGATCTAGTCTTCTTCCCAACGGTTGTCTATTTCAACCTGTAGTACAAGAACCACAGCTTGAGCAACCTATAGTAGATAAGGATTAATTTCTTTTGCTTGTTTGAGTATTTAATATATGTAACCAAACCTTCGGGGGTGTTAATAGTAAGATATGTTAAATCCAATTAGAATTTTGTCCACATTATTTACTTCCATTGAATTTCATTTCATATTGTTTATAACAACAACATACACCACGTGGATGCTTTCAATTTGATTCAACACAAAACATATGAGATCGTTGATTGAACAAAAGGGAGATTTCATTTCATTGCAAAACAACAATTACACTAAAACCATAAATAATTTATCTTTATTATAGATAAGATCAAAGTCTAAGGTAAAATATTACAAACAAAATCCAACTTATGAAGAACAATGTTTTCCATCTTCTTGCTTTAACTGCCTTTGTATTCATTTTCTATTCAAAGGTATTGTTTGACATCAATAAACCAGGTATTACCACCATACATCGAGTAAAAGCTGGATCAACCCACCCAAGAAAGGGACAATTAGATCTCTGGAAAAAAAAAATTGAACATAAATTAGGGGTTAAATAATCAAGGGAAAACTTAGACTTCGAAAACTTACATTTCATGAACAACAGTAGAATTTGCGGCATGGGTTTGTGTTCGTCCAAGAAGTACACACCATTGTATGTGTGCCATAGTATCACCACTCCATTTTTTCCACCGAAGAGATGAAGCCCAAGAACGATGAGTCGAGGAAAAAGATAGATGGGTCGAATGAGAGAGAAAGAGGGGTAGTCTGTTTATTTTCAAAAAAAGAAAAAGTGGATGGAAGATTTTACCCTCGTGTGCATTGAATGTGGGTTCACTTAATGCACAGAAATATATGGCTGTTAGGAACAAGGACTAGATCATCCAACAAAAGTTGCATACCAAATGCACCAAATCCATAATAATTGAAGTCTAGGGACCAAAGTCCATGATTTACTCTACATTTTGTCGATGACTCTGTAAAATTTGTCGATTGAAATATGTATGAAATAAGAACTATTATACATTTTTTATATTAATTGAGAAAAAAAAAATCATCACACTAAATAAAAGTATAAAACTATAACAAATTCCATTAGATTTTCACGAAATGTTACTCTTAAAATAAATCTAAATATATGTTAAAAATGCAAGCATAACACAAGTATAAAATTCATTTAAATATGTAAATAGAGTTGCTAGCTAAAATTAGGGGTGAGCAGCGGTACCAAGTGCTCACTTGCGGAACCGGAACTGCCGGTTCCGAAACCGGAACCGATATGAGTGGTTTCGGTTCCTAAAATACGAAACCGATTGAGAATGGTTCCGGTTCTCAGTTTTTCGGAACCGTTACCGGTCGGATACCCGTTGGGACCGGTTCCGAGACCAGGTACCCGGAACCGGCGGGAACCCGGTATTTTTCAATTAAAAATAATAATTAATTTTTTTAAATACTAGATTAAGTTAGGTCAAGAACTTAGAACTCTAGATTCAAAATTTAAGATAAAATGATCTGTATTTTTTCAAATTGTGTGTTTAATTGGATTTGTAGTATGTAATTGTTAAACTTTGAACCTTTACAATTATAGTATGTAATCGTTAAATTTTCAACATTTACTATTAGTCTATTATGGTTTGTAATCGTTAAACAATATTTGTAACAATTATTTCATATAATTTGTATTCTTGCTTATTTATTAGTATTTTGACAATATTTTATTTTTTATTTCTAAATAACAAAATTTTAATATTTTAGGAATCGGGTACCCGGAACCGAAACCGGTTTACCGGTTTCCTGGTTCCAAAATTCAAGAACCGCTCTAACCGGTTCCGGTTCCAATATCTCAAGAACTGTCGGTTTCGGTTTCGATTCCTATCAAATAGGGCGGGTACCCGCCAATGCTCACCCCTAGCTAAAATCATGAAATAATATGTACTTTTAAAACACACAAAGCTTAAAATTATGAATTATATATAAGAGCTTAAATTTTTTTTTTGAAAGGACAATGAGGAGAGCTTCGGCATGGCCATCACCCTCACTAGGCCAACCAATAATATTAAACAAAACGATCTAGCAAGAAGCTAGACACAAGAGGAAACAAGAATCCACAATAACAAACGAAAACAAAAAGAAGCAAAAAGAGACATCCCCAAACAAAAGCCAAGGCAAAACCCAAGCCAAAGACAAGCAAAGAGACTAAACAAGGTAAGGAGAAGAAGACCAACTATTTCAATTAAGATGGAACTTACGATTCCTGTTCCCCATCCAAAGCTTGGATAAATTTTGAACACCTGGGAATGGGTCTTCACCTCTCTTCTTAGCTTCCGCACCATCCTTAACATGAAAAATTTCATTTCGCCACTTCCAAAGTTGCCAAAGCGCCACGACGCACACTGATAAGAAAGTCACTCCAACCTTACGATGAGTACCTACTTGTTTGATCAACATTGTAAAATCAGACACCGAGGAAAGCCGCGGGGATTTAAGATCCCACCAAGCCCATATTTTCCTCCAAAAAATGCTTGCCACCGAACAAGAGAAGAAACAATGGTCCAAAGTTTCAACACCTTTGCCGCAAAAGATGCACTCCAAAGATTGTAACGGAATTCCTCTTTTTGAAAGATTGAATCTTACCGGATAGCCTCTTTAAGGAAGCGCCAAGTGAAGATGTTTACCTTCTTTGGAATTAAAGGACTCTAAAAAAACGGATCATTGCTTCCAACATTTGTATCAACCGCCCCTTGAATTAATTTGGACAAGAAGTTGACCGATAAAATCCCGTTCTTGTTCCAATTCCACAACCAAATATCCTCACCCGAAGTATTGAAATCCACATGAGAGAGTTGCCTTTCTAGGGCTTGAAGATCATCTAAGCTTCTACCCCTAATCGTTGTTTTCCAATCCCAAGCACCACTCCAAGAACCATTAATATAAGTCCATCTGTCTTTGAAAGAAGCATTTTTATTCCTTTCCAAGGCATAGAGTCTAGGGAAAAGGTCTTTCAACTTTGAGCCTTGTCCGATGCTCGCATCTTTCCAAAAAAGAGAAGAAGAATCTTTAGCAACCTTTTTTATAAACGAGAGGATGACATTCTGACCTGTAACTTCCACATTTTTGCAAGAAAACTCTAAAATACGTGATATTCATGAGATCAATATTAAGTTAGAAATTTTAATTAAATTATTCTATGATTTAATTTATAATATAAAAATAAGTTGGTAATTTACAATAAAAGCTCTTATTTAATACGTTAAATATACATCATCATGATCTCTTTCTATTTAATACATCATATATCATCATATGTCTCTTAAATATGATCATCTCGTTTTGTTTAGGTTATATTTGACAAACTAACTAACAAATTAGTTGATACCTGATAAACTAGTTGTTAGCTGATAGTTAATAAGCTAGCCGAAAAACTTTTGAATTAGACGGGGATAATTCTTAAGACATGAAAAATCCTATTAGAACTTGAGAGGGTAAGAGGAGTTGTGAACCCTATCTTGTTCATTATAATCAAAAAATTCTAAATCAAAACTCTTTCAATTTTATATCTTTGAGTTTCAGCAGACTGTAAAATGAAAACATTAGAGTTTTGACGAGTTCTTGAAACAAGAAACAATCAAAAAACGAGTAGCAAGAAAATATTGGAAATAAGCTAACCTTCGTTTGGGCCTTTCCCGTTAAGTGATCGTTTGTTTCGTTAGTTGCAGTTATCGACAGTTATGGTTCCCGCCAAAACTGTTTTGTGAACCGTTGTGTCTTTTCACAAAATAGTGGCACCGCTTCGTATTGTTCATATATTTATGTAACAGATTGTTTGTTGTTAACATATAATAAAAATATGTGTGTTTATGTACATGATTGAGTAAGAGTTTTACTTCAAATGGTATCAGAGCCAAAACGATCATGGCTTCAAGTTCACAAATCATTCAACAACCACATCTACCAAGGTTTAATGGAAGGAATTACTTTCACTGGAGCATACAGATGAAAGTAATGTTTGAGTTTCAAGATCTATGGGGAATAATAGAGAGTGGAGTAGTCGAACCAGAAAATCCTATTGCACTAACATCACAGCAGACCATCGATCTTAATGAATATAAGAAAAAAGACAAGAAGGCAATGTTCCTTATCTATCAAACAGTAGATGAGAACATCTTTGAGATGATCTCTGCATGTGAAACTGCAAAAGACGCATGGGAGATGCGTTTTAAAGCATATAGAGGAGAAGAAAAAGTCAAAACTGTTAGATTGCAAACCTTGAGATGCGAGTTCGATAGTTTAAAGATGAAGGATACGGAATCTGTGGAAGAATTCTACACACGGGTTATCGTACTTCTTAACCAGATGCGTTTAAACGGTGAAAGCATAAGTGACAGGAGAGTTGTGGAGAAAATACTAAGGAGCCTTACAAGGAAATTTGAATACGTGGTGGTGGCAATAGAGGAGTCCAAAGATCTGTCAACCCTTTCACTTGAAACTCTGTTGGGGACCCTACAGTCCCACGAACTCAGGATGAGGCAATTTGACACAAACACTCTGGAGCATGCTTTCCAGACACACACATCATGGGAGACAAGTCCAAGTGATAAACAGAAAAATATGGATCCAAGCAGGGAAGAAAGTTCGACTTCTTTCAAAGGAAAAGGCAGAGGTAAACCTTTTAATCAAATAAAATGTTTTTACTGTGATAAAATAGGACATACCATTAAATTCTGCAGAAAAAGAATTGCAGAAGAAAGCAAAACCTCTAGTTTCTTATATAAGGAAGATGGACATAATAAGGATTCCATGTTCATGATGTTGAGTATTCAAGAAAATTCCCTCAATGAGATTTGGTATCTCGATAGTGGTTGTAGTAACCAGGAAACAATTTTTTTTTTAAAAACTTAGAGGAGTCTGACAAAAAGGATGTAAGAACAGGTGATGATAAAAAATTAAGTGTCTGCGGGAGTGGTGAAGTTGCTGTCAAGATCAAAAATAAAGAAAAGAAAATACCAAACGTGTTTTATGTCCCTAGACTTAAACACAATTTGTTAAGTGTTGGACAATTAGTTTTAAAAGGCTATAAGATTGTCTTTAAGGAAGAAAGTTGTGAGGTCTATGACCCTAAGGGTATCTTGATTGGGAAAGTCACTATGACCGAAAACAAGATGTTTCCAATCAAATTTACAAATGAGGACTTTTTCTCTTTAACTATGAATATCAAGGATTCTTCTCTTCTTTGGCATAACAGATTTGGGCACATGAGCTTAAACACTTTGGCTCATATGCACAAAATAGAATTAGTCAAAGGTCTTCCTGCAATCACCACTGTGAACCACATATGTGAAGGATGTGCATTGGGTAAACATGCTAGAGCAGCATTTCCACATGACAATGCCTGGAGAGCATCTAAACAACTAGAGCTTATCCATTCAGACATCTGTGGACCAATGCGAACACCCTCATTTGGTGAAAGCAGATACTTTTTGACCTTCATTGATGACTACAGTAGGAGGATTTGGACATACTTTATCAAGGAAAAATCTGAAGCATTCAACTGCTTTGTAATCTTCAAAGCAATGGTTGAGAATCAAAGTGAATGCAAGATTAAAACCTTGAGGACTGATAGAGGGGGAGAATATATATGATATGAGTTTGAAGAATTTCTTAAGAAACATGGCATACATCATCAATTAACTGCCAGCTACACACCCCAATAGCATGGGGTGGCAGAAAGAAAAAACAGGACCTTAGTTGAGATGGCTAGATGTATGATTAAGTCGAAAAAGCTTCCTGACATTTTCTGGGCAGAAGCCGTGGCTTGTGCTGCTTACTTACTAAACAGATCTTTTACAAAGAGTCTGTCAAATAAGTCACCACAAGAGGTATGGAATGGTTTCAAGCCAAGTGTTAATCATTTAAGAACATTTGGCTGTGTGGCTTATGCCCACATACCAAGGCAAAAAAGGAGTAAACTTGATGAGAAATCTGAGAGAGCTATCTTTGTGGGGTACAGTTACAATACTAAGGCTTATAAGTTATACAACCCTGTGACAAAGAAGGTAATCACTAGTCGAGATGTCCTTTTTGATGAAGATAAAACTTGGGAAGGACTGTCTAGTGATTCCAATGGAAGTTGCATTCTGATTGATTGCAATCATGATCAACAAAATGATTACACTCAGCAAACTGAGCAGAACCTTCAAGATGGGGAAAGGTCTCAAAATAACTCTACTACTCAAACAAATACTTCTGTAAGTACACCTCTAAGGAGATCTGCTTCAAATGCTGAGGAAATCATTCACAGCTCTTTGAACAACAACCCTGAAAATTCATCATCTTCAGAAGGAAATAGAAGAACAAGAAGCCTAAGTGATATTTATAACAGTACACAGCCCATAACTATTTTTAATCATGCTGATTTTGCATTATTTGTAGATGCAGATCCTCTAGATTATGAAGAAGCATGTCAAGAGAAGAAATGGAGAGATGCAATGGATGTTGAAATGCAGTCAATATTGAAGAATGACACATGGGATTTGGTGGAACTACCCAAAGGACATAAAGCTATTGGTGTGAAATGGATCTACAAAACCAAACTGAATGAGAAAGGAGAGGTGGACAAGCACAAAACAAGGCTTGTGGTGAAAGGCTACAAACAACAATATGGGGTAAACTACCAAGAGGTATTCGCTCCAGTCATTAGACTTGAAACAATTCGTTTGATTTTAACTATTGCTGCACAATTCAACTGGCTTGTACATCAGATGGATGTAAAGTCAGCCTTCTTAAATGGTCACTTAGAAGAAATAGTCTATATAGACCAACCTAGAGGATACAAAAGGAAAGGTGAGGAACACAAAGTGTGTCACCTCAAGAAAGCCTTGTATGGCTTGAAACAGGCCCCTAGGGCCTGGTATGGGAGAATTGAGAAGCATTTTCTTGAACATGGTTTTAGAAAGTGCAACTATGAACATACCTTGTTCATCAAAAGAAATGAAGGCTCAATTCTCTTAGTATGCGTCTATGTAGATGATCTAATCTTCACAGGAAATTCAACTAATTTAGTTGAGGAATTTAAGGAGTCCATGAAACAAAACTTTGAGATGACAGATCTCGGGCTTCTGCATTACTTTCTGGGTATAGAAGCTTATCAAGACACTAATCATATCKCTATCTCTCAAAAGAAGTATGCAAGAGATMTGTTACAAAAATTTAATATGTTGGATTGCATCTYTGCTGACACCCCAATGGAATTCGGGTTAAAACTTTCAAAATTTGAAGACAGTAGAGAGGTTGATGCTACTCTCTATCGTAGCTTGATTGGCTCACTTATGTATCTCACTGCTACGAGACCGGATATCATGTTCCCTGTCAGTGTAGTGAGCAAATTCATGGAAAGTCCAAGAAAGGAACACATGGATGCTGCTAGACGCATTTTAAGATACATAAAACGGACCCTAGACCATGGAATAACTTATGATGCTTCACAAGCCTTTAAACTTATTGGCTATAGTGATAGTGACTATGGAGGGAATATTGTAGACAGTCGTAGTACTTCTGGGTATGTTTTCAGTATGGGAACTGGTGCAATTTCATGGCAGTCTAAGAAACAGAAGGTTGTTGCACTTTCCTCAATAGAGGTTGAGTACATGGCCTTATCCTCAACAGGTTGTCAAGCTTTATGGTTGCGAGGAATCTTAGAAGAGTTAGGTATTCCACAAACGTCCTCTACTCAGATCTTATGCGACAACAAGTCTGCTATCTGCTTAACAAGAAATCCTGTCTATCATGGAAAGAGCAAGCATATAAGGATAAAATTCCATTTCATTCGAGAACTGATTCATCATAAAGAAGTTGATGTTGTGTTTTGCAGATCTTTGGATCAAGTGGCTGATATCATGATTAAGCCCCTACAACGTGGAAACTTCTCAAAGTTCAAAGATTGTTTGGGGTGTTTCGGCTGTTTAGCTTACGGGGGAGTATTGGAAATAAGCTAACCTTCGTTTGGGCCTTTCCCGTTAAGTGGTCGTTTGTTCCGTTAGTTGCAGTTATCGACAGTTATGGTTCCTGCCAAAACTGTTTTGTGAACCGTTGTGTCTTTTCACAAAATAGTGGCACCGCTTCGTATTGTTCATATATTTCTGTAACAGATTGTTTGTTGTTAACATATAATAAAAATATGTGTGTTTATGTACATGATTGAGTAAGAGTTTTACTTCAGAAAAATCAGTCAATTAAGGTCCAGATTTCAATGTTAAACTTGATTTTTATCATCCATATAGTAGCATACCACATTGTGGAAGTTGTTGATACATTTGTTACCACCATATTATGCATGTGTTGCTTATGAATAAGCTGTTTTAATGTTGTGAATTTAGTATCAAATCAAAAACATTCACAAACTCATGCATGATTTGAAAACTTGAAATGATAATTTACACCAAGCCTTTTAAAAATTGGGCGTTAATTATATATGGTTTGTGTTTTCACTTTTCTGAGAAAAACATCAAATTTTACTAACAGAATTGTCATACTTTTGAGATTTGTTGTGTTAAAAAATTGTCCAACCGTAGCCGTTGAGTGAGTCAAAAAATATCCCTTCACAATAGTATTCTTGGAGACGGGTTCCGTGTGAAGCCGGTTGAGATTGTCGGTAATCAACTTTTTTGTCCAGATATCTTAACAGTGATATAGTTATATAGCAAATTAGTAAGAAAATACAAACCACAGTGTCTAGTGTACATTTGAAAGTCGAGTGACGAAAATCAAAGTTTTCATAGACTCTTTGGATGTATTCCGAATATACTAAAAACGCCATGAGCTTGTTCAACTTATTATCTAACTAGTGACGTATATTCAAAAAATAGAAAAGTGCTTATCACTAATATGGCAAAAAAAGATCACGTAATCAAGACTTGCACAATCTTCATATTATATTATTTCAAAGCTTCGAAAAGTTGAAAACGATGTTCACATTAAACTTAGACTTTGTCCAAAGTCTTTGAATAACGTAATTCGCATCAAGTATTTCTGTTATGTGGTATTGATGCGTTATTGATATGTGTTCACTATTAAATATGTGGTTGATATTAGTCGTCATAAATAGAGATTGATTTCACATTTTCAAAAAAAAAACATAAAACAATTACGAGGATGCTTCAGAGTTTAGACCTTGTGCATAGGATACACGTGGAGGCCTTGGATTCATGCAACCTTATTTTCTTTCGTTGGCTACCAAATTGAAGTTATTTTGTTTACGGTTTTTGTCAAATATTCTGAATTTGGAATAGTTGTAGTTCACATTTTTCCCACCTCTTTTACACACATCAAATTTATACGTATCCCATTTCAATTCTAGAATTTAGAATTTAAATATTTGATTATGTTTTATCTATTGTTTAATTTATGTGTTTCTTGATTTTATTATTAATTTTTTTGTAGATTTAAGAAAGCAAGAAAGTTGAGCAGTAAAAAGGTGATCCACTCTTTCTATGGAAGGAGAGGAACGACAAACATAATTTGGTCGATTTTATGGAGTTAATATTTGATTAATAATGATCAAACTCAACGTTTATCTTGTATTTAAATTGTTCGTCAGGTAATTTTATTAAGTTAAAAAATGTGAATTTTTAAGAAATGAAACGTAAATAAATGAGATCTCAAAATTGAACCAACATAGTGTCGGTGCGGCGTCAATCTGTCATCTCTAAATCAACCAAGTACAGGGATCACATTATGTACTTGTAAATTGACAATGCCAAATACATAGGTGTCATGAAACGAACACATGCTCAGGTCTAACTGGTATGTTCGACGAGTACCTACACATGTCATGCACGTGTGATTACTTATACCTATAACTAAACACATGCTAGATTAACTATGCATTCTATGCTGATATGGTTGTCTTTGTACTCAACAAGGAGGTACACAAGTTATGCGACCTTGAAAGTATAACTCACATACATCCTAGCCAACGGGCGAAGTGAATACAAATGTCATGTGAGTTCTCAACTCACATCGACTAAACAATGTGACTTAGCCTAGCGAGCTTAAGCTTGCATTCTGCTTCGTCTTTACGATTTCGTTCGTGGCGTAATATCAAATATAAATGAAGATGAATACACCCTACTTCCTCATTTTGCCCCACATTGACCATCTTTGTTAACTAATTTAACTAAAATTAGGCAAAAAATAATGCATTATTATATACATATATATATATATATATATGATATTAATATTACAATAAAATTTGATTTATAGGATGTCTAAAATCTAGAAGCGTCTTAAAAAAATACTTTATAAGATTTAAATTTATTTTTATAAAACAAAAAACGACATATATAAAAGTGTTACACTATGTTTATAGGACGTTTTTAGACGTTTAAACAAGTTTTTAAAACATTTTTAAAACAAAATGTTGTATTAACTACATTATTTGAAAAACAATGTCCTATAAATACTTACAAAATAAATATTTGATAAACGACCTCTTTATCTTCAAACTTTAATGAAAAAATAATGATAGACAGAAGTCGGTTGTTAAAAATATTAAAAACCGATTATTAGGAATTAAAATAATGGTAAATGGATAATTACTTTTTATAATTTTATCTCCAAAAACAAAAACAAAAAAAAAAGT